TTGAGAAATACTTCGAATTTCCGCATCCTTTGCGCTTCAGGTTGCGTAAAGTTTCTACTGTTAGCGACACATCTTTCAGCTCCGTTTTGTGCCAACCAACAGTCACACTCTGGCAGAACTGCTCCCATCTTTTGAGGGTTGCTTGCAAGTAAGCGAATGGCGAATTTCGCTAGTAATTGGTGGATTGTTGTAGAAGGGGAGGGGAGTTCTGCACGAGTGTTGCTGCTTTTCGGAAAAACTGATTTGGAAAAGAGATAGATCGGTGAATTGAATAGTGAAATGTATTCGTTCAGGAGTGCTCTGATTATCGGTACGGATCTTCGATGTTGCTGCAACGCTTGGCTCAGACGCCGCAGCTCCACCTGATTCTGTTACTTTTACTCATACTGTTGCCCTCTTCGCCAGTCTAGCGCCTCATCTCATTCTGAGTTCTGTGACGGAATGTTTTATAATTGTAAAATTTGGACAGCTATGATTCATGGCCTGGTTCTCCAACTCTGTAGCTGGCAACTATTACAGTCGCTTCGGCAGTGTATTGCATCTCCTGAGGGTCAGTTTGCCGGCAACCTTGCCGTACGTTCCGTCTCCTGAAGGGATTAGAATTCACTGGCTCTTCTGACGCAAGGGCTTGGTGAGGCTGTAGCCAAAAACGGATCTCGGAATGATCTTAGTTGTGTGTATTTGGCGTTAGCACCTTGTCCCGATCCTTGTACTCCTTAGGCCACATTGACTTGATCTTGCCGACTAATGGGTGGGATGCTTCTTTCCAGTAAAGTGAACTCACCTTCGCCGTGATACTTCTATCAGTTACTGTTTGTATCGTCTCGATATTTCTGTAGCATTCTGCATCGTTCCGAACTTGCTCTTTTCATATAACCCATTGCAGATGAATGGCCAGGCCTCTCCATCACGCAGGTGGCATTTGCTATGTCTATCCAACACTGCATTAGTGCCACTCAACAGCCATCTCTGTCTACTTGTTTCTTCCGGAGGCTTGGGATAAGAGAGGGGCTGGGATATAGCTGATTGGAGAGCGCATTTTCGGGAGCTGCAGAGAGAGATTGAGTGTTGCTTTGGAGGCGGAAGTAGGAGAAGGGCTAGAGAAGAGAAAGGGCTCAGTTTCAACCGAAGCACGGATTTTTTGCCATTTACAATCGTAACACCATTTTTATGCATTTTGTGCTGTACTCTCATGTTTAGCATATATTGCTCCAGTAATGTCCATATCTTTCAAAAACCATTGGTGTTACCAAGTCTTTCCCAACAGTTGACGTGGTAATTCTGCGTTGGGGATGTTACTGAAATATTCCCATATACAGGGCGTATCTGCGTCTGATTCTTCGATCTTAGCCCGTATTTCCATTTAGCATCTTCCTTTTGTTCGATGTATATGTGGTAACTTTCTCTTTGCAGACCAATCAAGTGGCTCCACTCATTTTTCTCGCCAGTAAGCAATGTGTGTTTTTATCGGATGTGATTTCAGGCACCAACTACTGTGCCGTGTTGTGCATCACACAGCATTTATACATCTACGAAACCGGTTACATCAAATGCAGGATCGTGTAAGGTGCCAGCAGCTGCAGCGCCACCACATTTGCTGAAACACTGCAGCAACACTTCGAACGAAACGAGAACCGAACGAACTTATTTACACGGCGATGACGAATTCACTACCTTGGTTCATGAAGTGCGAATTCTCAGTATTTCTTACTGGCCTAAGTAGTTTTGAGATTTTGCTAGTACTGTTAGATAGAATGTGCCTGTTTGCGGCATATCCTCCTTTAATTTTTTTGTGCTTTGTGCTCTGTAACAACTGTACAAAACTCATATTGTCACGAGGTTGTCTGTGTGTGTACTTATGTGTATGTGTTTTTATGTGTGTCTGATGCAACTTTCGACTCAGGAACCACAAAAGTTAGGAAGCTGAAATTTTAGGGGAATGTTTTTCGCCCACGTGCTAGCCTGTGAAAGTTTTGGGGAGCAAACTTGTTATCTCGGAGCCAGAAAAGCTAGGAGGCTGAAAATTTTAGGAGGATGTTTTCTGCCTAACCAGGGACTCCACAAAGTCGAATTCATTTCCTGAGTATGCCGAGCTCACATGTACGAACAGATCAAAGTTTTGTAGCTAAAATCACTCCAAAGCCAAAAAGTTAGGAATTTTGGAAGGACATTCACCCTTCGAGGTTTCAAATTCAGCTTTCACATACTTCTGCGTTAAAATTTAGTTGGAAATTCCAAAACTTTGGAATCAGGCAAAACATTTCAATTATTTTTGCACGGACCAAAGTGCAAAGTAGTGAAAATCATTAACAGGCAATCGTTCGATAGACGGAATTGCACGAAACGTATAGTTGCACCAGTTGCTCTGGTGCGCTGCTGTTTATTTCCTAATGTTAAGGAAACAAATAACTTTTAGCTAATTTCTCAAGCAAATCTGGAGTGAAGTAGCACTGGACCTATTGATGCGCAGCGCGACACAGTCGTATAGGCCAGGTGTAGAGGAGGACAGGATGACACAACGTAAATTAGCTTAAGAGGGAGGGAGTGGTCACGAGCGGGATGGTAGTAACATTTCCCACTTCAAGTTTTACGTTGAAAACAGAAGGAACGTTGTGGGACTGGATTTCTGGGTGATTTTTGAAATTGGTGAATTAGTTTCGCTGGGAGACGCTGGGAACGGAAAATCCTAGTTTCGCTGGTGTAATAAAAATCTGAGTCTTATTCGCTACAGATTTCCAACATTTTCAAGAATTTTTTTTGCGTTTGTATTCGTAACAGTCCTTTTCAGCCGTGGCATCGCTTCTCGATTATATTTAGGGAATTGCAAGTTCAGCAGTTTCACCGGCAACAGTATTTGGGAAGCTTCAGCCTTCAGCCCTCTTGCGTGCTGAGCAACACCACATTTCGAGCGCTGCGTTCTTAAATCACGATGGAGATACCTGCTAGCTCCATTGTAGGTGTAATATTTTTTTATCAGGTAATGAATCGTACTGGCTGCCGTGATGGGGCTATGGCAACCGAGGCGTTAATCGAAAGTTCTGGCGATATGGATCAGGCAGTGGATTACCTTCTTTCAATTGCATTATTTGTTGGCTCCGGTGATGAAGAAAATCTTTCCAAAACTATCAGTCAAAACACCATGGATATGTCAGGTCAGTTTTATGTAGTTTTTGAACGTCTAAAGAGGCTTTTCATTGTTTCGCATTGCTGCAGCGCAGAAATTTCCTCACCGAAACACACAATTGGC